ATTCATGTCCCTATCTTGACTTTGTATTCACTATCTACGGACATTTAATCGAAACAAATACAAGGTGGTTCATAATTCAGTATTCTGCACCACCCTGTATCTGTTTCAATCAAATATCAATTGATAGTGAATACAAAAATAAGATAGGGACATGGAAGCCGTTTTGACCATGCAATAATAAATAGTTTCAACACAAAAAAATTGTATAGTTGAAACATCTCGATTTTTCATACCCTATATCTCAGTTATCACTCCCGCGAGTCCCTGAATGTTGTGAATCGATGAAATCAGCTCTTCGGGAAGAATCCAAGAATGTAATGAAATACAGGGTGTCCCATTTGAAAAATCAAAGTTGCTGCCACTTTTTAGTAGGAGCGGTAACGCCGGATCGTTTCGAATACTTCAGACTTGTAGATTATGATAATTTATACATACCATCGAATTAAAGATTTATCCGTTGCCTGGTTTGCCAAAAACGTCTAATTAACGCTCATCGTTAAAAGCCCTGTATAGTGTTGATGACGGACCTGCAACTATATTCTCTAAAAGTCTGTATGCATACAAAGAACGATATGAAACACTCCTCCTAAACGTAATACCATACTCACGTAGACCATAGGAAGTAATAAAATTAATAAATCTTCGTTTGATTTCTCTTTATACCCCATAATGAGCGAAAATAATATTTTGAGCACAAAGTATGAGTAGTAAAAATCGTTTGTGCGTGAATAAAAAAAAAGTTGAATAGACATTCTGATGCTCTTCTCAGATATATCCGAAAAACCGAAAAATTGAGAAATTCAAATGCATAGGGTGTAGTTTTTGGGCAGAAAAAAATTGTGAATTTTGAGTGAAGCCGGACCTGGATTTTATCTTTTGTTGATGCTTCAATCAATTCGACAGGACAAATTGCGTAAGTGTACCAATTTTCAAAAAAATATACAGGTTGGTTGGAAAGTTATGAGACATTAAATATATGGGCAAAATTAATGAAACATCCCGTATCTGGATTATAAGATGTCGAAGACCCATTAACCATGGGATTTTTTGAAATCATCTCAATGACCCCTATCCAGAGTTGAATTATTTACCTTTCCCAATAAAACACCCTGTATATAAACCATTAAGCTATTCAACTTACAACAACCAGTCGGCACTGTCATATTCTTGACACAAAAATATGAACACATACTTGTTTAAACTAAAACTACAGTATTACCATGGGTATCACAGTCAAGATTACATTATTACAAGTTTGGTAATGTTCAAGGAAATTTTTCATCTTTTGACAACCTTGCCAAATATTGAGTTTTGACCAGCCAGGGGTTGTAAAGAACCTCAGTGTTTCCAAATCACTGTTATGTCTTGTATTATGGTGATGAATAGGTCGCGTGCACGAAGACCGACCCTGGAGGCAAAATATTGAAACACAACCTCATTCTTCTGTGAATTATTGAAACACAACCTCACTTTTTTATTTGGTTACAGAGGAATCAAAAGGTTGAAATAGTTTTTCACAATATTTTGGCATACGAATCGTGTTTCTTGCGTTATTCATTAATTCAAGCATGCCTTCGCATTGTGCTGTTGTACAATGCACAAAAAATGCAGCAAGAGACTAGGGAATTTGATTTTTCAGGTAAATAGTAATCTCACATAGTTAGCATTATGAAATGTTGTCATTCCTTATTAAAATTCCTTCTGCCTTCTGCCACTTCTGCAATACAAGCTAATGCTGCTAATAGATTGAAAATGTCTACAACACACACGATCGTCAGCATGTCAGACCAGTCCTACCGATTGATTGCATGAATCCAATCTTCTTGCATTATTCTAGAAATTTCAGGTATATTTCTATTAGCTGATCCTATTGCAGAAAAAATTCCGATGAGAAATCAGAGAAATAACCAAATTTCAAAAATGAAAACTATGTGAGTGACTATAGTAGGTACTTACTTTTGAATCATAATGTACCATCCGGATTTCTTCATCTTCCACTGCAGTTTTTGTGCATTTTACAACAGCACAGTGTGATGGCATTAGCGAATTGATGAATAGCGGAAAAATACGATTCATATGCCAAAATAATTGTGGAAAACTATTTCGATCACTTGTAAACAAATATGTTTTGCCTCCAGGGTCGGTCATCTGACAGTTCTTGCACGCGACCTATATCATTTCTATTGATAAAAGTTAGGTTACACAGCCACTTAGAATTAATGATTTGGTATACTGGGTGAGTCATTGAAATGGGAAAGTGAGATAACACCTTCAATGTTTGAGATAGATGAACAAAAATTGTTGTGATGATCTAGGCTCATGAGCAGCACATTTCCGAAATATTTCGCTTTATACAGGGTGACTCGAAAATGCGTGACGTATCAAAGTTATACTTTTTCTTATGGCACACCCTGTATTTCATTGCATTTTCGGATTCTCCTTTGTGAGCTAATTTCATCAATGCATCACACTTGGGTCTAGCGAGAATGATTACAGAGATATAGGGTGTGCAAAATCGATTTGAGATAGATGAACAAAAATTGTTGTGATGATCTAGGCTCATGAGCAGCACATTTCCGAAATATTTCGCTTTATACAGGGTGACTCGAAAATGCGTGACGTATCAAAGTTATACTTTTTCTTATGGCACACCCTGTATTTCATTGCATTTTCGGATTCTCCTTTGTGAGCTAATTTCATCAATGCATCACACTTGGGTCTAGCGAGAATGATTACAGAGATATAGGGTGTGCAAAATCGAGATATTTCAACTTTAGGATTTTTTTGGGTCGAAACTATTCATTATTGGTCAAAACGGCATACATGTCCCTATCTTAACTTTTGATTTACTATCTACTGATATTTAATTTGAACGAATACAGGGTAGTTCAAAATTCAGAATTATGAACCACCCTGTAATCGTTCAAATTAAATATCAGTAGATAGTAAATCAAAATCAATAAATAGTAAATTCCCAAATTCCTCTCAAAAGATGTTTCAGTATCTTAGATCTCAGCTTGTCTAAATGGGTTTGTTTCATCAATGTAAAGACCAAGGTACTTAATATCTCAAGAGTATCCCAAGGTTGTATTCCCATATTGTATGTTCACTTGGACATGGGGAGTTAATCTAGAGATTATTCCATATCCAGATTTATTTACATTTAGTGTTAACATGTGAGTGAACAACCAGGTAGAAATTTTTGCATGTCTTCCACAATATTAAATTTCAGTTCATCATAAGAGTTGCTAAAGTACAGTATCATACTCAGATTTAATTCTGATATTGAATTGACATAAACAAGAAAAAGGGTTGGTCCTAAAATAGACCCTTGGGGCATGCCATATTCAATTTCTCTTTCTGTGCTTAAGAATTTTCCCATTGAGACAAACTGCTTTCTAAATTACACAACACTAATTTCGTCGCATCCCAGAATTTTGCCTCTGTTGAAATATGAATTACTTTTTTCTGCTTTGAACAATTTGAATTCAGATCACACTGTCTAGCCCAGTCCTTCAGCTATAATCTCGTAATTCATTAAAACATAAGGTTCTTCACATAAAATCGCTACAGGGTGTTACCTGAAACTGTGCAAAATTTCGGGAATTTCAATTATCCCAAATAAAAAAAAAATCTAACTTTGACAGTAGAGTTATATAGATGATCTCATTATCTTGGGATAGTTCTTGAATTGTCTCCTTATCTCTTTTATTCACAGAGTGATCTCAAAAAATTAACTGTTTGGTTTTGCAGTCAAAATTCCGAAAATTTTCACAGTTTCAGGTGACATCCTGTAGCGATTTTATATGAAGAACCTCATGTCTTAAAAAAGTACGAGATTATAGCTGGAGGACTGGGCTAGGGAACAGTGTAATCCAAATTCAAATTGTTCAAAGCAGAAAAAAGTTATGAAATTAGTGTTGCATAGAATTTAATCACTAAATAATTTTTGAACCAGACATGACAATTTCCTCTAATGCCCAAAGATCACTTTAGGAACTTGTTATGTAAATTGCTATTGTTAAATTCAAATATCATAAAATAACCAATCAAATCTTTACCAAATGAGTGAAAAGGGAGAGGAGTAACAGAGAACATATCGGAGAAAAAATTAATAAAAAAATGCAAAAAATGAATACCAATTACCAATTCATATTCTCCATATTGCACAGAAAATAAGTTGCAATAAAAGGAAATAAATTGCACAAAATGTTGACCAATCAATAATTCACCTAACCTTCCTAAAAAAAAAATTTAACTTTCAAACCCTAGGGAGGTATTAATTAAACTAATGAATTCAAGTTTTCACTTATGCCTATTTTGCTCTGATTTCACAACAATGAAATGAAATGTCCAGGTAGGACTAATTGAAGAAAATTGTCCAGAATCCAATCTACCCCATAATGGCTAGGTGGAAATAGTAATGGTTTCTACATCATCTAACTATGTAAACTTTTCAAGATTCATGAAAAAATTTGGAAGAAGGAAGTTCATCAGGTGCATTATTTCAATGTCATGATTCATAAAACATTAATTATAAATGCATTATTGATATAATTTTGAAGATTTGAGGAGTCCAACTTGTTGGTGGCTTGGTGCAATGTGAAATGCTCAGTGAAATGTATTTAAAAAAAAGTCACTGTTACTCTAGGCTGCATCTTTTATAATGTATAATGATAGTAAAGTAGCAATGATCAGTAGATTAAAATTCACTACATTTGTTTAGCTAAAAAATTAACAGTAAAACTTATTAATGCTACCAGAATGCTACCATCAACTATGATATTTTGTAAGTTGTTTGTATGGTCCACTCTAACAGGAAATTATTATGTACCTATATTAATGATGTTACACAACTGTCACCTTGAAAGAATTTCAGCAATATTTTAAATAAAACAAATTTTTCCAAATGAAAATATCATGTACCTGAGTGATTTACGATTTACCTTTGAATATCCGAGTTATTTAGATTCAATACACATTTAAAAAATTGTACTCACCTCCGCCCTGCATTATTTTGTAAAATTTTGACTCTATGTGTAGTTGGGGATGCCTTGTCTTTATACATTCTAATTTGATTGCTACTTCTTCCCCAGTTGATATATTAGTTCCTAGAAGTAGGAAAATACGAATTGAAATAATCTACTCTGAAATATGTCTGAAATTTATAAGGAACACCTTTTGTTTACAAGAAGAAAGGTGTCAAACAAAACGTCAAAAACTCACCTAAATAAATATCTCCGAAAGAGCCAGATCCTATTTTTCGGCCCAGTCTATATTTATTACCGACTCGTAGCTCCATTATTTTAAAAAATATAAAAGGGTATATATAACAAAAGATGTAAAATACCAAGGAAGTCAGTCGTCTTCAGGCGGCCATGTTAAATTAGCCAACAACCATCATAGGAAATTTGACGTTAGCTATAGTAGGCCTAGGCAATTTGAACTTTTCACACAAACTCCACAATATTTATTGTTGAAATGCAGTCACAATTGAAAACATAAATAGTTTATTAGAATTCCGGTTTATCACAGATATGTCATTATTTAAAAACAACTACGTCGAAAGATATTATTCTCTATCATTGTTCATTGTGTGGCGCATGGACTATGGGCAAGACATGAAACAGAAACACTCCACTACCTCACTTCAACAGACAAATGAGAGATGTGTTTAGTTTAAAAATTGCCAGATCAAACGTATACAAGGATTTTCCATTCTTACACACGTACGTCATTGAAACACACTTCAAAAAGAATGTCTGTGATTAATTCATGAGTTTATTGAGTTTCTACTCTTCAGGCACTATTATGAACTAATCTTATCAACGAACCAGTTTCCTGCTCTTATCTAAGACAGAAGACTACAACCAGTACAACTATACAACACAAACAATGAACTCAATGTTCAAGAAGCTCAACCATGGTACACGGTAGTGTACAGTGTACACTGGTACACGGTACACGTACAAAGAAGAAACAAAAAACGATCAACATCGAAACAGAAGAAGTAGTAACATCGAGGTTATGTTTCTGTGTTTCTTGATTGAACTCAAATGTAAATCAATAAATATATATATAAATGATGTAAGTTAAATACATTGAGTTCATCGTGTTCCTTTCACGATTGTCTGCCAATGAACTGTATGTAAACAACTGGAAGGGACCCACTGTGAACAACGAGTGAGGCAAAAATATTTTTCAGGCAACCCGCAGTGTTTACGGATACCTATCTCTCTCTATCTTGTGTTGGCTAATGGGAAGTGCTCGCATAATTTGAAATATTTTCTCGTTTTTTGCTTCTATTCAAGAGTAAACGTGATTAAATAAAAATATTCATTTAGGAAAAAGGATAATGTTGTAATCAATTATCATTAAAAAATTATTACTGATTTTTTTATTGACTTTAAAATGAAATTTCGATATTACTCTTACAGGATCAGGAAGTCAAATGAATACAAAATTGAAATTATATATTTTTATTCAAATGTCACAATATATTGTACAGGGTGAGCAAAGCACAATGTCTCAGAACTATCAGAAGGAAAAGAAAAACGATAGGAAAAATTTGAAGGTTCCCATTCCTCCATCAGGTCACTCATTGTCATCAATATACCCACTGTTGGAAATTGATTGAACTACTTATTCTTTCATGTTTGAAATTTTTAGGCCTCTCCTTTTTACTTTTTGTCTCAGTGTGTTCACTTTTCTCCTCAATACAATATTCTTCTCTAATGAAACAGTTTGAGTTTCTTTATTGATCAACTTCAAAACTTGGGAGCTGGAAGTGGTAGGCAAATCAAAGTCAATAACATGGGAAACTTCTTCCTTTGGACCCAAGTTATGAACGTCCACAGATGCATCCTGAAAACAAATTACTAGCTAGTTTTTTTTATTTTAAATAGGTGCAAACATACTTTTTTTTCATTATTAATCAACTAGGTACCTATGAGTTTTCTTATTTTCCTGGAGGAATCAGCATTTTTTGGTAACAAATGCTGAGGAAATGAAAATATACTGGGTACAGCATCTGCTTTCAAAAATCTAGCAGTACCTGGTATGCCTAAATAATCTGTTGGCAGGAAATGATCCCCACAAAGCTTGCTGCTTTTAGTTGGAGTCCAATTCTCACTAGGAACTGCCTTTATCCATAATTCGAGAATGTCTGGTCTTTTGAATGGAAAACTGCAATAAATAATATCACTCAATATCAATATGGAAGTATTTAACTTTGACAAATAATATAGGTATAGTTTTTGAACATATTCTGAGACTGGACATTGTAAACCTAACTGATGATCATTTCATGAACTATATTTTTCAAAAATCTGAGAACAATAGTCAACTTACCCATGGAATGCTAATTTCCTTTTGTTTTGTTCATTCTTGCATCCAAAGGCGACACAATAAATCACCATTGTTTATCAATACTAATCACAAACCTTCTCAACAATCAATTCAGTGTTCACAACAACAAATTCATTCCTTTTGTTACAACAAAACACGCCAAATGAATAGATATTTAACCTCGTATTTCACATGAACTAAGACAATGAACTTATGTCTTCACTTTCTTGCCTGTGTAGATGACAGAAAAAGTTCTTTACTACTTTAATTATTAGATAAAAGAAAATTTATACACCAATCCACCATTAATTAAACAACACGAGTTGGAAGAGGACAGGTATCCGTAAATCATGCTATCTTCGTTGCAGCTGCCCCTGACACACTTTGTGCTATTCGAGAGAACGATCGTTTCCCTTCCAGTTGTATTGAGTTCATTGTTGTCTGCAGACACACACACTACATCCAATATTCTAGCTTCCAACATGATAAGTTTCTTTCACGATTGCCAGCAGACAGTTAACATACACTACATCCAATATTCTGGCTTCCAACATAATAACGGTCTCGGAGTAGGAATGTAGAGCGTAGTTGGCTCAGACTTCAGCTCAGACGGTAGTTGGTTTCATTTCGACAGGCCAATACAGAGATCAGAGATCAGTGGGTGACTGATCTCTGGCCAATATATAGCAAATAACAGATGGGGTTGAAATGTTGAATCTCTAGGGTAATCTGTGGTTTTACTATTATAGGAAGTTAGGTAGGTACATCAGATATCAAAAATATGAAAGGCATTCAAATTACGATTAAAAAAAGTATACTGATGAATATATAAAATTTGTTCCGTTAAAAATATTTCTAATTTCCATTTCATTCGTCTTGCAAATATTGTATTTTAATTCATGAAACAATAAAATGTGTGGTTGATTTTTTTTAACATGAATTTCTATGTCCTCTGTCTCCGAATAACTCTGAAGGATTGTTCCTATTCATCTTGACTGGAAATAACATGAATTATAATGGTAGAAACATGAATACAGGATGATAATCAAAGCTGTACGTTTTTCCAAAAATTTCAAACGCCTCCCGTTTGAAAAAAAAATGTTTCTATTTTTTTTTGGGTTGAAAACATATTGCTTCATATGTTTTCTCAATATTGTAAAAAATATTTTGGAATTGTCACATGCGTTACTGAAATATGAATGTTTTATTAAGATAATAAGATAGTAGTACTCGTGCTAACTAAGTTGAACTTCGCCTTTTGATTATCAGCAACTAGCTCTTTAATCAAACCAAAATATATGTATGTAACTACAGCTGAGAAACAATAAAGACGATTATTATTATTATTATTATTATTAATGCATAATTTGATGCTTTAATTTCTATTGGCGTTGTGTTCCTGTCAATCTGGTTCGAACGGTGGTAGAAAATCTTGAAATGTTGCATGATCAACCTATTCTTATATACAGGGTGGTCCTCAAACAACAATTATTACATCAAGTATTAAAAAAAAATCTTGTTTTGACGAGCAAGAGAATTTCGAAGCAGGAAACCGATTGAGAAGTTTTCTGGCGATCAAAGCGTATAGGAGAGGTTGTCATCACCATGTCATGTTTCATGTTGCTACAGAATCTATTGCAAGATCAAACCACTGGAATTGTTAGAAAAACCGGATTTTTCAGAGCGTCGTTCTCATTTTGTGATAGATTTTTGTGATTTTTTCTATATTTACGGTATACTATCTCTTATCCATATCTATATATAGATATATACATTATATTATTGTGATCCTTTTTGTTTCGTTTATTGGCTTTTTGGCTTGAAATACTAATAACTAGCTTACAATCACAAAATAAGTCCGAATACTGTCCTGAAAGAATCAGAATTCACTTTATAAAAATGTTGATCCCAATGCTGGGCAATGCTTATCATATTTTTTATTCACCTCCCAAGCAGTTTAAAAAACTGAACCCAGAGATCGCACCCTTCCAAATTGTTGTAAATCACTTCGTACCACTGACAAACTACTATCTAGACCCCTAATGTCATAACAAAGAAGCTATGCCAACCAGTAGATCAAACTCGAGGACATGAATCATGCGCATTCAGGACCTGTTATAAAGGGTGAGTCAATAGTGTGTTCTCCTTCAATATTAGCCAAACCGTCAGATATATAGGAAAAATTCGAATACAACAGTTATAGGATTTCATGAGAACCATCACTTAACAATTATTTTCATATCTATATGGTGTTCGAATTCCCAAATATCGGCTGATAATGGGTTTTTTAAATGGGACACCCTATATATTATTGCATTTTCGGGTTCCCCCTGAAGAGCTGATTTCATCAATGTATCACACTTGGGGTCTAGCAGGAATGATTACAGAGATATAGGGTGTTCAATTTCAACTTTAGGATTTTTTTCGGGTCGAAACTATTCATCATTGGTCAAAACGTGTCACTATCTACTATAGTTGATATCTTATGGATATCCATAATGAATATCTTTAAGACATCCAAAAAGGTCACACTGTCACATCCTATGGACGCCCATAGTATATACCAGAGCCTTTTTCGGATGTCTAATGGACATCCACAATATCCATGATGGATATCCATAGTATATCCATAGTATATCCAAAAGATGTACTTGTGCTATCGGGGTATGGTAGTTGAATGAAAATCGTGTACGAATTTATTTCGTGCATGTAAAAATTATACTTCAATTTCCAGTAGTTGAATATTGTGACCTTGAGGTTTAGGACGCACATGCGCAGAACACAATATAGGTTGCCACAGTAACGTGAAGAGAGAAATGAGCTCTCTTCTGTCGGGTCCACCAAGCGAGCAACATATGATCGATGTCTGTTATATTAGGAATAATAAAATCCGTACGTTACATATATTTTGTTGCATACTCATTTTTCCTGATGAATACAATTTGTATTGCATTT